TGGTGGATATGCTGCAGCAGTATTCCCAGCGGATCGACATGATTGTTTGGGCGGAGTGTGAGCGTGGTACGGAATCTGCTGCTGTTTGTTCTCAGCCACAACTATTTCAGATTCGGCCATCAGATCTATCACCAAGTGGACGGGGTTGCAATGGGTAACAATCTTGCACCCCCATTTGCGATTCTATTCATGCGTACGGTTGAAGCCAGGCTTCTGCAGGATCCTCCGTTAGTACCGCTCCTCTACAAACGCTACATCGACGATATCCTGATGCTATGGACCCACGGCAGAGAGAGCTTGATGCGGTTTGTGCAGAAAGTGAAGCGAGGATTCATGAGCAATTAAGATTGAACAATTACCCAGAGAATCATTGAAGAGGCACACACTGCCTCCACAAAGCCAAAGCATCGTCGCCGTGCAAACACATGCTGCGCATTTCTAAAGCTTCCATATAAGTCAGACAAAGTACGTCAAGCAGTCAATCAGAACGTATAAAATTCCGGTTTTGAGTCGTAGATGAGCACACTGGTAGCCTGAGGCGTACATTGTGTCGCTCGGCCCTCGTTCCTCCTCTATGCGTCAAGGCTGCAAATCCGCCACAACCGAAAAAGAGAGGTCGCCCAAAGGGGCCGTGTATCTTGTGTATATCCGGGGGACAGGATGTATGCAGAAAAGTGTTATTATATCAGCTGAAGTGCAAAGAATGTCCGGAACAATATGTTGGTGAGACTGGCCGCTTTCTGGAAACTCGCCTGGAAGAACATAATGGTGAGGCAAGACGACAGGAACTCGACAAGCCATGGGGACAACATTTTCGTACCACTCACCCTGGATCCAAGCTCATGAGTGCATTGGCGCATGGGCCTCCGTGCTCCCCTCCTGTAATGTGCTAGAATTAACACCATAATTATTTGGCATGTACCCTCACTTCGCAGAGCACAATGGTTGTTGTTGTTGTTTCTTTATTTTACTTCACCATATGAACAGGCAAGACTGCCTTCTCACCGGGGCTATTGGCCCACGGCTCTCACAATATGATGAAAATGTTTAAAATGTGTATGAAGAAGAAAGGAACGGAAAAGAAGATGAAATGAAAGGAAAGAAAACAGTAGGTATTAATTTTATGAAGGGGTATGAAATGGGTATTATCATAGTTGATGGGAGAAGTATGATATCCAATATTCTTGTTCTATAGACTATTTAGTACGGGCATTTCATGAGAGTCATGCATGGGCAAGGCAGGATTTGGACTAGGATAGAGGACAAGAACATACTTGATGAGCATCTGTTCAGGCAGAATCTGTGAAGAAGACATAGTAGGCACAACATCGGAGAGCTAGTTGAGGAGGGAGATAAGGTCATAGCCAGACAGCAATGCTTGAAACGTGTGGCGTAGATCTACGTCGCAAGCGCGAATATCAGCAGGGAGAGAGTTCCATGTGGTACTGCCAACAAAGGCGATAGAGCTACGGCCTGAGGGACCAGGTAGGAACGGCACTCTGAGCAGCTGGCTGACCTGACCACGCGTGACACAACTTCTGTCCACATCCGTGGCAATGAGGGAGTAGTAGGATGTGAACAGTGAGCTGGCTCTGCCATGAAGGCAGCGGAAGACGAAGAGAAGCAGACGTTGCACGTACAGCTGGTGGAGCTGAGGCATTGATAGTCTGGCAAATAGGGGAGCAGTGGGGGTCCTTCTGGGGAGTTGGAAGATGGCTCGTATGCCAGACTTAGCAATGCGTAGCAGTCGATGTAGCAGCAGTTTGGATAGAGCGGGAAAGAAACAGTTTGAGGCATAGCAGAGAACAGACTGGATCATACTCATGTACCAGCCCGGCGGGCATTGAGTGAAAGGCACCGTCCATGGCGCCAGAGCTGCCCGATTGTAGTATGGCACGCTCTTCTTCTCCGTGGTGTGCACAGTTGCACCTTCTCTCCCCCCTCTACATAGAGGTGACATAACTCGCATCCCCCCTTTTTTTGGCGCTACACTCTGCGTAACGCCATGGCACGCGCCCTCACTTCACAGAGCACAATGCAATGGCGCGCTACCTTCAGCTGCTTCTTCTCCGTGATGTGCTAGTTGCACCTTATCTCTCTCTGTCCCCCCCCCCTTCTGCATACTAGGTGACAAAATTCGCATCTTTTTTTGGCGCTACACTCTGCGTATATATACTGCTCTTGTGTGGCTTCCACGGTATTCATTGTTATTGCCTGACGATGGCCACGTGCCGAAACGTTGTAAAAATAACGGAACTGGTTCGGATGTGCAGCGCTATGGGAATGGGTGTGTCCACCCGAATTCCTTTCAGAGACCTACTAGTACTACATATCGCCCTGCGCGCGTTATTATGTTCATGAGCTGGCTGAGTTTCACTAGCTAACCAGCCCCAAAGAGCGGTAACCATGGTTACCGCGCCCAATTGAATGACGATGTGATAGCTCGCATTCACCGGCACTAGCACTCTCCGCAAACCATCGCATCTAATCCGGTCACAGGCCAGCTCGGCGTGTCGAGCAACCAGTGAGTTGTTGGCGTGTGAACCACACCAAGTCCATCGACATTTGACACCAAACCTCTTTACGAACGGGCTAGCGCTGAAGGTCCGGACCTTCTAGCTGCCTCAGCAAACGTGGTATAGCTGTGGGGAGTTGGCGAAGTGGGTCCATTGGATAGCATGGCATGCACATGTACTTCGAAGTAGCAGTGTGGGTGGCGAGAACACCAAAAATCTGACACGTCGTTGAGGTGTCCGTCGGGATGAACGAAAAACAATATTTGCTGAAATCAAGAGGGGAGCAGGCTAGGCTGAGTGCATACTCGACGAGCAGTTCAACCTACCACTGCCGACTGGACACCATGTAGATCCACCCTTTTTCTGTTTCTACAGCGTCTACCCCTCTGATTTCCTGACTACTAGAATGTCTAACGCCATGCCGGTACTGTCATGCAGTGTCGGATTGGAAGTGGGTGTTGAGGCTGATTTGGCTTGATGCAGTGCGTGCACTCACTGGAAGCAGAAAAGCCCGAGTGCAGAAGATGGAGAGCTCTATCCAGTCCGGTTGGTCAGGGTTAACGGACCAATTTTTCAGCCACCAACACGTGTTTCCTACTGTGGAAGGCAGGTGTACCCGCCATATCGATACACATTTCCTACTGTGGAAGGCAGGTGTACCCGCCATATTGATACACAAAGTATGAAAGGCCATGATACTACCGGACCATTTAAAAACTGCTTCCGGCGCCCGGCGGTCCTGTACTAGGTATATGCGGATAATGCCGGCAGAAAAATTGGCAGAATTCGGTACTTTATCTGGTAAGTTTCATGCATGTTTGGTATGTGGATAAAGAAATGGAGCAGAATTCGAGGAATTGCCCGCCATAAGGTTTGTATGGGTCTGCCAATTTCACTGCTTTTCGAGCAGAATCTGCCACCTTTTCGAGCATTATCCGCACACCCCTATCCCGTACTGTAGAAGATGGAGAGCTCTATCCAGTCCGGTATACTGAAACTTTGCCGAAAGCTGTGGAACATAACAAACAAAAAATGGGGGTTGTTTTCTGTTGTGCAACCCCTTTCCTCAGCCGTACTTGTAAATCAGAGAGGTTTTAGCCAGTCGTCGTGCATGTGAGTAAAGTGGTCTTTGTCAGTCGTGCATGTGAGTAGCGATCAGCACCTGTGCTGTAATATATGCACCGGATATGCCCAGACACAGCACAACAATGCCTCTGTCATTGTCAATAATGATTACCTGAGTTTTTCATCTCCCCAGAACCCCAGTGCTTCAACTGCAATGTACACGTACAGCCGTACAGTACTACTAGTAGGAAACTGTAGTTTTGGTCTACCCCTGTTGCACCTGTCATCGATTCTGTTGTTCAGTATATAGAAATCTCCCTTTGCTCTTTCTCATGTCATGGCCTCCAAGCACAGTTTTCATCCATACTCGTGGCAGCCGGATTGACAGAAATGCAATCGCTTCACCCTTGTGAACAGTATACGCGTTCACGTTGGGCTGGTGGACCTGTGCTGGCAGCGCGTCCTCTATATGAGCACAGCATCTCATCCAATTGCTCTGACCACAATACTGTCTTGTTGAACCATCATTAATTTATACGAACGCTGGACCAGATCATTACAAGTGTCCTTGAGCCAGAAATCCTGGGGCAGTAATTATGCACTGACATGCTTGACAAGCTTTATACACTGACATGCATGTATTTGTGAGTCAAACCTCCGTTCAGGCATCATGTGGTAACGGTAGTAATAAAGGTAATATAAATTTTCATGAGACGGGATATACTGGAGTACTGAAACAGCATGAGCAAATTGATTGACCCACGCTAGGAGCAGTGTAAGGACCGCAGGTTGTTTTCAGAGAGGAGGGATAAAAGCGATCCAATAATAATAGTACTCTTGGGCTTGGAGACTCGTTCCCAGAATGCAGGTGCCTAAAAAAGGACGCATCGAGTGTATAATAATGGTTTGGCTTACTGTTCAGTTTTAGGTCGATTTTTAGTTGGGCTGCTGTTTGATCAAAATATGATTATACTCGGATAGCTAGTGGTTGAGGGTGAAATTCAGACGGGTAAGCAGCCTTTGGGGGGGAGGGGGGTAATAGATTAATTCTGGGGAAAGTGTGGTTGTAAACTGCGCTATGGGGACATGTAGTGGTCATCACAGTTTTCAGGGTGCACACGCAAATTACTTATATGGAGATCAAATTGTGGTGTGAAATGAAAGCATAATCAAAGGAATGTATATGTACATGTGTGAACTGCATGAACACGAACATCACCTTCGCTAGCATATGACACAAGCAGGCATGGACTCCTATTCTTTGGTGAAGCCCTTGATAAACTACATCTACGTCACACTTGTACATACATGTCCATAGCACGCACTGGCTTCGTGGCGATCGGCTTGTGGAATCCTGGAAACCCAATGGCAATAATAGAGATGATGGTTGCTGGATGATGCTGGTTTCGTTCATTTCTTCTACCATAGGAAAACGAGTTTGGGGTCTGGGTGTTGAGATCTTTCAGATGCTGCAGTTATGCAGTCAGATCCGAACAAGACTTGCTTCTTTCCTGCCGGTCCGCAGCAGACTTGCGCCCCTTCCTTGTAGCTTTCCCTCTCACAGCACGCATGACCAAGCTCTGGCCGTCCGCGGACAATGGTCCGGTCGCAGCACATCTTCTCTGCCGCTATCGAGGCCATACCATACGCACAGCACTCGTACTCCGCCTCGGGAAAGCCAGGGCGGAGAGCACCGTCGCAGCACGAATCCATCTGCTTCTCATAGATTTCATTAGCGCAGCATCCCATTTCCACTTTGTCATAGGTGGCGCCGCCGCAACAGCCGAGTCCGCCGGCATTCTCAAGCACCTGCCCATCACAGCAGAGCATGTTTTGGGCCTCGATTTCGGCCAGGGCGTAGCTGGTAGCGCCGCAGCACATGTGCGTGTCTACACCTCCCGCAGACGTGATGCCGCCCTCGCAGCAGAGCTGTGTGGCCTTGTCGAATTCGATACCAGCACAGCATCCCGTGATGTTGTTGTTGAACACGCTGCCAGCGCAACATTGAGCATTGCTCCGGGGCACAGTACCGAGAGGCTTGGCGGCGGCGCCGCAGCAGAAATCCTTCCTAATGTCAATGACGTCACTGGCACAGCAGCGGTGATGCCTTCTCTCCGCCCAGCTCACCACATCGGAACGTAGTGAGCCAGCACAACACAACGACGTGCGAATATCGTATGCTGATGAGGCACAGCACCACGCATAGCGTGTGATGTCCACTACGGACGAGTCCTTCAATGAGGCCGGAATGTTAACGATGGATCCCTCGCAACAACGCTGTTTGGACGTGTTGTATTCCTGCCCGGCACACAGGGACATTACGGCGCGTTTGTGACGGATATGATGGAAGTGGTTATCATCTGGTTTGCCATCATCAGCGTACTTGTTACTAGTAGCTTGACAGATAGCGGGCAGGCTGCACAGTGCTAGACTTACGGCGATATACACTGTTAGCCGCATTGCCATCGACTGGGAGGCGCTGCGGTAGGACGAAGTGGCACACATTCTGCGAGTGTTGAGTATGGGACCCTGTCGTTATGATTGATTGTGTGGAGAGAATGGAACGTGACGGATGCAGCACACGATGCACAGCACTCTGTATTGATGAACAGGGACAAACCGAATATGGTAGAAAATGCACACGTCTGTCCTCTGGCTACAGTACCCGAAGTTGGTCGATGCCGTCAGCAATAACAGGATGGGTGGAGAATTATCAGCAGCGGGTCGGGCGAGGAAATCCTCAGGGAAGCAAACCGGCCGAGTAGAGAACAATAACACGGAGAGCACTAGGCTGGGAAGGGCTGAATAGAACTTCGCTTGGGGTGTGGAAGTTACCTTCGCTATAGGCAACGGGAAAAGGATATCCGAACCTGGGGCCGAGTCTTAACGAAATGCAACGTGGCTTTATGCGCCTCCGGAGAAAAGAGAAGGTTGCTGAGAAAGAAGGCACGACCTAAGGCAAGGAAGAGAGGTGGAGAGAGTGCAAGTTCGCTTCACCACTCACAGAAACAACTACCTGGACGGTGTGGGTGTAACCCGATGTTTGTACTCTCGTCATGTCCTGCGTCAACCCGTAGATCTACCAGTCAGCCAGCCAGCCAGCCCTGTAGAGTGTAGTGTTGGGGTTGCTGCTTGGAGCTGAGCGCGCACCGGCGGCTTCCGCTTGTTGGTGGTGCGAACAATCTGTGTGCATGTGCATATGTGATTGTTAGCAGATAGTGGCAAGGTCGCTCCAGCTAGCCCATGACCACGATTGTAGTCGTCGCCCAATGTCCGTGGTACTCAGTGATACTAGAACATCAATGATGAACATCATGTCGGTCCTAGGCATGGCTGCGCTCTAGGTATGGCTGAGTTCTAGGTATGGTCTCTGCCGAGATCATCAGTACGGTGCAGATTGACTGGCTGTGACCACTGGTGACTGGAGATAAACGCAGAGAACCCGAGGAGCAGCCTGGTGCAATCCAATCCTCAGCCTGCTCCAGTTCGCAACAAGCGCACGCAGCATGTGTGGTGTCTTGCAGCGATGCCCGCCTGTCAGGATGACCTTGCAGCAGTACACATAATGTTAGGCAGTCAGCAGAGACTCAGTGAGTTAGGGCAGCAGCCTTGCAGGATCACAGAGTAGATCCACCCTGTTCTCATGATGTTCGTAGGCCGCCGTCGTGCGGCCTGCTTCGGTTTCCGTTGTGCCGTCGCTATTTCCTTTCAGTTTCGATCGCCGTCGGGGGTCAGGTTCAAGCTGTGGCAGTGCACGCGCGCGGCGTGATTAGGAGTATGCGTCGCAGCCCTTGTCTCGTGCTGGCTGGTGTCACGTAGTTCTAAATACATTACATGAGTGTGTCCATGCACTTAGTCTTTGTATTGCGAGCATCATGCCTTGGCATTGCCTCAGCAGCGGCACTGATCGGTTGCAATTTTGTTGGTGATATGGTGCACTAGTTGCAGAGTGCAGATGAGGTACGACGATCACTAGACTTGCTGCACAATATGACCACGACCTGTGTTGGTGTTAATCCATTGTTGTACAGCAAGAAAGTTAGTTCCACAGTATCGATAACATGGCCGCAGTAACATAGTTGGAAGTGCCATCGAGCAGGTGCGTATCCGCCGGTAGCCAGCTTTGGTAGGGTCATTGGATGTTGCATCCAGGCGTACAGGTACCTTTAAAGAATGGCTACAAGCAACGCAGTGTTACCTCCGTGTATTCTATTTCCAACAGCGAGAAGGAGAGAAAACGTGACGTGATCGCTCAGCGCACCTTCATACCTTCCTTCCTCTCTTGTCTCGAAGTAACCGTTAGTTTGTGAAGATCTACTGAATACGCCTACTCGCTGGGGTTGCAATCGGGCAGACTGAGCGTATGTGCGCAACGAGTTTTTAAACTGTTTCAGCAGGAGTTGAACCAGCAACAATGCGATTCCCAAGCACCTATCTTGACCACCCAGCTTGTTCGCGTTGACATCACCAAGCAAGCCTGGCTAGCCTTCGCATCAGCCAAATGACCTAAAGAAATGAGGAACCACCCAGCCTCTGCACAGTTTTGATACACTGGTAAACTGTTACACTGATAGTGATACACTGGCACACAGGTACACTCATTGCTAAACTGGCATATTACGTCAAACAATCGTGTATGCAAGTGCAACAGATTTGTATCCTGTATCAATAGTGTAGGTAGTTATCACCTACAAATGTGCGTATTGTCATCATGCACGGTATGTGCAACTTTTAACGCTCTTCAGTGCAGTTAGATAGTGTGTGATAGTTAGGTAGTGTGTAGAATGATGGTCAGGTGGCAGTGCATGACTGTATTACTGAGTGGTTGAGTGCAGGTTGTGCTGTCTGACGTGTGCCTCGCGATATCACTCTGCACCTATTACACTGTATAGTTAAACGAGAAATAGAAAGACGGCCAGTTTGGATTCGTCGTAGCTCAAAACCGCCCTCAGTCTGTCAATCAGAGTTCAGCAAGTGTTTTCTTCTTGGCTTGCTGATGGCTAAACTCTTGTTGTTTCCGCTAGAGGAAGGAGAAACAAGCCGGAGAATTCTACTGGAGAAGAAAATCTAATATTTCTACAGTTTCATGCTACTGCAATCATCAGACGACTGCTACTTTACACTTTGTGAAACATTTCTTAAAGTTGAGCTGATCACTGCTTTTCAGCATGAAACTCGTGAGCAGAGACATTTTTAAAAATCACCTTTTTGTTCCACCGGATTTTCGTTTGTACTAAGCTCTGCACGCCATGTATTGAGCACTGTGAGCGGTAGGTAGTCAAGGTTCTTTTGTGTGTAAAACTTGAGATTATAAAAATTGCAGCAAAGAGATCACTTGCGTTGGCGATGATGTAGGGATTTCTGTATTGGTACCAGCGAAGCATTGAAAAGGAGGCAGACACCTCAGCCTTCCTGCAGTCACCGTAACGCATGCCCCTTCGCAGTACTGTCTAACGTCTACACTCTGACACCCTGCAGCGGCGGTCTAGTCAGTTGACCGCTAGCGCTGGCACCACGCTGGCAATGCTGAACTCGGCCGTATTTAGCTGGTTGTCACAAGCTGACAAAAGCATACCGATAAGGATGTGGCGATGTGGCTCGGTGACGGTGACCCAATACTGACCTTGGCACTCTTCATGGGGAGATTGAGTACCAATAATCATTCCCGTAGTTATGCAATAGACGGTGGCAGCTCCAAACGTTGGAGCTCGCGCTTCCTGCCAACTGACTGACACTTGAAAGGCAGGAAGCGCGAGAGCCGCTGACCAGCATTTGGAGCAGCAACCTTTGCCCACAATACACACACGCACACACACACACACACACACACACACACACACACGCAAATAATTATTAGTTAACCTTCTACAATTACCGCCTACGGTCGCAACAGCTTAGTTCAAAAGACGTTACGCATAGTAGCGTATGGCGCTACTAGCAAGACTCAGAACGACAGACAAAGGTATGCACGATGCAGGTGCATGTGTGTCGGTATAATAATAGCTAACATTGCTTTCGCCTCTATTGAGCGGCAGTGTTGGTATAGACTCAAATAGTTTGCGATATGGACACCGCCTAACGTGGCGTGACACTGACAGTTATGCCATATAATTTGAGTGCTAGAGGTCTTCGCAGTTCTGCACGTAACGGCTTGCGTCGATGTCGACAAAGTAGTGTGGTGTTCCTACTACTACTAGTTCAACTAACTCCTAGCGAGTAGTGAAGTGAAACAGTCCGTGTATAAGTACGCTGGGAGGAGTATGACGGAATGCCACTGCCACCTTCCCACACTGCAAAACACAAACACACACACGCGCGCGCGCGCGCGCGCTCACCTTTGCCTTTGGACCTTTGCTTTGGAAAGCCCATCACCGAAAAACACACGCACACGCACACACACACACACATACACACACACACGCACACACATACCCCCCCCCCACACACACACACATACCCACATACACACACACACACGCACACACATACCCACACGCGCACACAGACACAGACACACACACTGACACTGACACACACACACACACACACACACACACACACACCGTGACACACGCACAATAATAGCATTACTGTTGCTGGACAACAGAAAGAAAGTCATTGTCATAGTCGCTTCTCGAAGAATGTAGGCACTTCCTGCAGTGACGCGTGTTGTCAGTACAACTCCTGATGTACATTGTCATGTACTGTGTCTCGCCAAGTTCCGTGTGCTTGTGGGTGTCCGCGACCCGAACATATTAGCTAGCTGCATCCATCACCATCATAGTCACACGCAAAGCAGCAAACAACAGCAGCGGCCTCCTCCTCCCAAGTTTCTCTCAAGACTAAACTCTCCACAGGCCATTTTCAAACAAGACGGTGTTATTCTAAAACAGACGTTAATTCTGGTGCCGACTTAATTGAACTGATCGATTGCCAGGCGTTCCAATCGCCATTCCAACATGGCCACCCCATATGCATATCTACCAGATCCTATCCACTTACCAAGTGCCAATACGGCAATAGACAAACAGTTACAAAGTCATGTTGTAGCTGTTGACAATGTTGTAGTGCAATGCATCAGGGCATACTGCTTTGCTGTACATGCCCCGTTACATTGTGTTCGTCCTCACAAGTCACAGTCTAGAGGTCCACTCCCATGTACATGTATAAGAACAATCATGGTTGTGCACTCTTGCCTCTCTCAATCCTCACATAACTACAGTCTATCTATTGTGAAGGTCTTGGTGTGGATGGTGAGATACAACAGAGACTGGACAGTAGCACTAGTACTCAGTACTAGTAGTAGCCACTTACCACGCCGATCACTACAAAGTCGTGTGCACGTCGTGAAGTGCTAGTACTAGAGATCGGTTAGAAACTATCCAAGCAGCGAACACACGTACACACTACACTCGGCGGGGTCGCCACAGCCACCACTCTGTGCTAAAACCAGTCCCCAGCCATCTGGAATGCGCGGGACTTAGCAAAACCATCTTGTTCACAAC